GTGTTGGTCAGCAGTAGGTACTACTGCCCTGTTTCACTAATATATATTTAAGCCCGGACATATGATCTTGAACCAGACAGACAGAATAAACCAAGCGTTGGCACTAGACGGTGGTTTTGGTAACAAATAGTATATATTTATATAGTAAGCACTATAATATAGTAAGCACTATAATATAGTAAGCACTATAATATAGTAAGCACTATAATATAGTAAGCACTATACTTTGAAAATATATAGTTAAAGCCGATTTTAATATCCTTATTAAAACCATAAATAATTAATTAAAATACGTAGTCGAATATTGGACCCGTTGCTGCTGGCGACGTCGGACTTTGTCATCAGAAAAGTGGAACGAATCTCTCCGGCAAGAAGAGGATTCAACCATTCCTCCTTCTAGTCCAACGACCTGTATCTAGCAATTCCTTCCGTGTTGCCGCTATCGGAAGCCGAACAGTTGCACGCCTTGGGATACTCAGTCAATTGAGTCTAGAGGAATTATTGTCTACTTAAGACCCGATGAACTTGGCCTGGTGGAAGCTAAAGCCAACAAAAACACACCTCACTAGCAACTAGGCTCTTGTCCAATTGTTCTGCCATCAGACTATACTCGATGTTCGTAAATTGCGGCCCCTCACAATAGAGAATCTTGGGCAGGAACATGTTTCAGAGTCTAAGAGTATGCTATTATCATTATACCGATAACGAGGCGCTCATCTCATCCATCTGGTTATCTTGCTAAATATGCCTTGACTATCCTTTCCTTTTCACTTTAAACTGTACTCATTTAATACGATGTTTGTATTTTGAGAATCAAATTGAATCTTCGTGCAATTCCTGTTCTGGCTTCTTGGGGCTGACTGGCACTTCCAGAGTCTCGGGCTCGCTTCCAAGTCACTTGAGCACGGAGTGATTTAGCTATGCTCGGATGTAGCTTGTGCAATGAAAGCCAGCAGCAAGACGACAGCCTTCGGGAGATGCATCATGTCTATCAGTCCTGGCGCCATTAGTGCTCTTCTCTAAAATGGGGGGCGATCAATCAATGTGTGCGTGTGTGTGTGTAGTACATGAATTCCTCCTCGTTACGGGCCCCACGCAACGTGTGGGAATCTGTCCCTGGGACAACCGGTCCCGGCCACGATAATGAAAATATACAGGGTAAACGATGGTTGATCTGCCTGAGTCCTGGGTATGCAATTCTGCAATTGATTCTGCAGCTGCCAATTGAATGCTGTCTGTATTAACCTTGGAATTGATCATGAGCCAATTGCCTATAGCCAATTTGATGCTGCATCGAAGACGCAGTGAATTGGTTCTTTGGGGCTGTTTAGCCTGCCCACATTTCACATTTCACGCGAGAATATTACCAGGTACCTTGGCGGCGGGAGCCATTCCATTGTCCATACTTGCTTGCATTCAACCATGATCTCAAACATAGATTTCTTACGGGAGCGCCCACCGCATCGCATGGCATCGCTTCTATGTTTTGGGATCCGCTGCGTATGGCGCCTTAGCACACTTAATACGCCCGCGAAGGACGGCAACTATCACGTCGACGTAGGTATCCTAATTTGGCAATTGGAACACAAGCATCTGGGGGGGGGGGGG